TTTTCTCCATTATTTCAGTATGATTTGCGATTTGCAGACACGTTTTGGAATAGTAGTAAACAGGGCATGGTCAAGCATATCTTAATGATGATGTCCAGCTGGGCCATAGTGTGTGACGTGTGGTACTTGCCACCGGTCAAGAAGAGAGTAAGGGCTACTTGATTTGTTTACTTAAGTTAAACTTTATTGGTTTGGATGATAAGTTTTCAAGATACGTGCCCTACAATAAACTAGATCTTACTTCCACTGTGGTTCCACAAAAGTTGTTCATCAGATATTGTGACCTACAGCAATATGTGAATTTGTGGAATGATTTATGTGATGTGCAATATTTGTTTTATCAGTGGCTCAACTTAAAAGAAAAAATCCGGATTTGAATATCCAAAAGCCAAATTATTATTTGCTGAAACGATAAGAAAATGGGTATGTAACTGTGGGAAACTGAAATAGTTCAGTTCACATTTTGGTATATTCATCTTACAACATATTTTTCGTATCTCTAGGAAGATGAAAATGCCATACAGTTTGCCAATAGAGTGAAGCAGTTGATAGCCCAAGCAGGTGGCCTAGTAGACTTAGAATGGTGAATATTGTCATTTATTTGTTTTATGATAACCTTTATATTTAACCTTAGAATTTACCTACATTTTGATTTCATATAAATGAAGGCCACACAGGCTTTATATTTTGGAGTAAAAGAATAACTCCAAACCTTTATTTTTTTCTGCTGTTGATCTTTTTAGTAATTAGCCAATAGCAAAAAAAAAAAAAAAAAAAAATTCCACAATCTTATAAAATATGTCAACTGACACTTATTGTTAAAGTTGTGGAACAAGTACACCCAAAGATGTTAAAACTTATATCAAGAAGTTTTGGATTTTATTACAAATAATTAAATAGATAAATAAAATAAAAACTCCAAGAAATAGTTTTTAACACCAATAAATTTAATGGCTTCTATTTTACAGGGATGGTCAGCTAAAGCGCACAAAACCAAAGCCAGACATGATCCAAAAACAGCAGCAGCATTACAGCAAACTGCTGAAACATGACTAGCTGTTTCTATTCATTGTACAGTGATAACATTTACTGCCATCAAAGACAGTTGGTATCTAACTGCTCTAAGCTTTAAAATATTTTTTTATCATGAAGGATTGGAAAAAGGTACAGAAATCGGATGATAAAGCCACTGAGAATCGGCTCACAAAAAAAAAGTACTCACAGACCAAAAGATTGTAAACTACTTTGTGATAAGCCAAGGATATGCACACTTGTTACCTAGCTTAGTGCGGAAAGGTTTACAAATAACCAGGGGATAATGGCAGAATTGGTTAAAAAATAATAATAACAAGGAAAGCGTTTCTAAAAAGAATAAACACAATTTTATCTGTACAGCATGTTTTGACCCTTTTGACAAAGAAAAGCATGGCAGACAAAGTATGTACATTGGGGTCTTGTTTTCTTTGGGATCATTTTGACTCTTTGCATACTTAGCTATGCCATCACTTTAATCATACTGCTATGAATTGAATTCTGTCCTTTTTCCATAAGCTTTCTACTGTAGATGTCTAACATTTTCACAAACTGTGTTCAGTAATATGATATTGAAGTTTTGTTACTCAAAACATTAGTTTGAATACCATAGTTACAAGTATATTGTTTAAGTAATGGTTAAACTTTACCTTAAGATAGTTTGAAATGTTCGGCTGTTACATACTCTGTCATAGTAAATATGACATAATGGCAATATTAGTCTACAAAGGTACTTGAATCCAATAACTCTAAATATTATGGTACTGTTACTTCTTTCAGTAAATAAAAATGGATGTGTTGTGAACTTTGCAAAAATCTCCTTAAGTGCTCATTATTTAGGTTAAATACAATTATCTTAAAATGTTAGTGTAATGCACAATTCCCAATTATACACATGCACCGTCGAATTTAGTAATTTAGTCAAGTTAAGTAATTTTGCCTAATGTGCCGTAACATGTTAATGTGGTTTGAAATGTGTGCTTCTGTTTTATTGTTATTTAAATTTTGGTGAGATATTTAATTTTGTTTTTCAATACAATAGATATAAATCTTTGTTGGTATGGGATGTAAGATGTAAAATATTGGTGGTGGACGAACCAAGCAATAAATGCATTCTCAAATTGACTTTTTTTATGTAAAATTGATGAACGATAACATTTCAGTTTTTTAAGGGGGTCTGCCAGAAACATGATAAAATGTGTTAGGTTGCTGTTGGGCTACTTATTGCAGGTGCTTCAGTTTACGATGAACTGCTGTGTACTTTACACTGGACAATAAAATAAAGTGCTAGAATTCAATATGGCCTATAATGTTTCATATACACATCCACATTACATTGGATGCGCAAGCACAATGAACATGTCTCGTTCAAGTGGTCAGAGTGATTGTGTTAGTTGTGGTGGAAATTGACTCCTCCTCTGCTTGACCTAGTTTCGATTTGTTACCACGGCAAAATTCACATTTCGTTTGACGTCAGCAATCTGTGTGTATGTTCGCACAGTCGATCTGCTGGAGGAAGCAGGGATGCTGTTTCTTATGAAAAATTCCTCAGTTTCCTCTAGGATTTCCTACGGAAGTTGCTTCGGCTATGGCCTCGAAAACGTGAAAACAGAACCAAAGCATTACTAGTGATCTTGCATCCCTGAAACACAGTCGAGCGCGGGCGTGTGAGTCGAGATGGCTCCCTTACTTGAGCACACGACGGATTTGACATCCAAAGTGATGCTGATCACAGCTAATGTGGGGTCAATATTTGAAGATGTGAGTATTGAACAGTCTTCCTGCACTGTGCATGTAATAGCCGTTGTAACAAGATCTGAGATGTGGCTATGCTTCACGTGAATATGTTAAAATTAACCCACACTCAATCATTTTGCCCAGTGGTGCCCGCTCACCGGCTTGTTCCCACGTTACGTTATGAAACTATTATGAAGCTGCCAAGTCGGTATATTTTAGTTACTCATAGTGTTGCCCTTACAAATTTATTTCTCACTTTTGCCTAACTTTTTTAACTTCGTTTTTGGCACTACATTAGATCACATTGCACTCATTTTTTTTCGCACAGTGACGGCTGATGATAATGGTTTACAATATTTATTTACACAAAGTCATAATGCAGACATATGGCGAGGCATAAACACCCTACCACCCCCTTAACCCCTTCCACTTCACACCATCTCATAACTTACTCCCTAGAAATCTTGCTGAAGTTGGACTAGGTCAGTCTATACACCTTTTTGGGATGTTGATCAAACACCTGCAGTCATTAGTGAATGCTACAACTGAAGTGCATTTCTGTTGTGGACCTCTACAGACCCTCTTGACAAGTAGCTTATTCCGTTGTAAGGTCTACTTTGTCATGTCCAACTTTGCAGAAATATTAAGTTCTGCACCCTGTTGTAACAATAAGGGTACAAGTTGTCATTCAGTAAATTTCTCCTTCTCCCCTCCACTTTTGCCATCCCATTCACTGAAGCCTGGCTGTAAATAGACAGAATATTGCATGGTAAGGAATCAGTTCATTTCTAAATGTATTGTAGAGAGAAACTTATATCTTTCTATTGAAATTACTTAGCTGATGAAACACTTTGAAACAAACTGTAAAATACACATATTGGTCTTGCTGTTTGTGTGCACAACTCCGTTTACTATTGTTGCTTCTCGTAATGTGTACCATTATTGTTGATGGCATAAAATCAATACAGGGTATGCAATCATTTTATTAAACATTGCATGTGAACTGAAACACTATATCTATTTAGACTTCAGATAATTTCTTGACAGTATAACCTTAAGTAGGCCACCTGCATACATTAAAGCATTGGAAATTGTTCTGTCATTGACCAGAAAGAAAATATCTTGGTCAGTAATAAAGCAGTTGATTCCTGGCCAACCAGGTTAAAAAAAAAAGGTTCAGTATATAAATTCCCCTTCCTGAGTCTTTCTGTAGATATTGGTTTTCCTTTATTATTCAGTATATTTGAGTCTTATATCGTATTGTTGGCATATTTTATGGCCTGGGAGCTTGCTATCTACCACAGTATAGATTCATAGGTTTCTGCTACAGATAAATGATGAATTGCATGTCTGTACAAAAGAATTTATTGTTAATGCTTGTGGTGGAAAATACGTGCCAGAAATAAGGGCACTGTGTTCATTTTGTAGAGTCACCATTCAGAAGGTTGTTCTGAGAGCAAGCATAGGTTAGGTTGATATGTACCAATAATGGCAGGGATTCAGATATCACTATAAATAAAATATCATTTCCCTTTTTGTTGCCTAAGGCATCCTAAAATATTTGTATGGATTTAATTTTGCCTAGCTGTGTTTTAGCCCCCTTTGGTGTTGTACAGTGTATGTCTCTGATGGCTAGTTGTATTACCTGCCAGTCAAGATTTTTATTTTTATTGAATTAGAATAACATTTTGTGGTTCATGTTAAGTGTTTGTAGCTCTGTGCAGCAGACCACAAAGCATGGAGTCATGTTTTCCATATCATATCATTTGTGGGCTGATGGTGAGATTTTGTTTTTTGATATTCAGCACAAAGGAAAACGTTTATCAATTGGTTTATCAGATGGTATATAATATCACCCTCTCACAGTTTGATGAATAAAATGTTAGTTATATCTTCTTGTAAAATGTGCAGGTTATTTTGAAAGCCCTGTATATCTTCTCCACTCAGAAGATTCATTTCAGTCTGTAGTTAATATTCAAATTGACCTTTCTGTAGAAATAAGACCCAAATTATCATGGATATTGGTATTTTGCATTTGTAATCAGTTTAGGTTTTATTTTAATGTGAATTTATCAAAGTAGTAGTGTAGAAGTTGGTCATAACGTCAATTTTCTCCTGCACTTGACCTGTGCGGGTAAGACCAGTGCAAATATTGAATGGCCCTTTTTGTTGAAGTACCAGACCTCTTTATATTACAAGCACAGCAGTTAAGAACCTGTATCACTCAGTGTTAAGCCAGTCCCAGCAGTGTTGGCACATTTTTATTAGAGTTGGCTATTGATAGATCACTCAATGCAGTGGGTTAAATCTCATGAACATTGCACATATTCTTCAGCCAAAATATACAGTCACTTCATGGTACTAAATGTTCAACAAGCTAATCATTTTCTGTCTGTGATGTTTTAGCATAATGATAAGAAGCGATAGGAAGTAAAAGAAATAAAAAGAACTTAGCAGTGGATGTACAGATGGTTTATTAATGTTACAGTCCCAAACTATATCACTTGATATCCCACATAATTAGAATCCAAATGTCATTTCTAGAACAGGTGAACAGAAAGGTGTGCTATTTGCCAAAGTGCTGTTGAGTACAGGTAACAAGCTGATGGGAAAACAGACTTATTTTTATATTCGCTGTAAATTTTGCTTTGGAAGACCTAAGTCTATCAGGTTATCAGCAGCCACTTTTTAAAGACATTGGTCATTGGCTAACCACAGGTCATTCCATTTTATCCAGACAATCACCAACTCAAATGTGTATTCATCATCGTGATTAGGTGACAATGTTCTCCCCTTTGATAACAAACTAAATGCAGAGATAATGCTTTATAATGGTTGTTTATGTTTGATACGAGGAAATACTCAATGTAAGAACAATAACCTGTTTTAACAAGGGGGAAACTTGGTATTTTTGAGATATTCTATAGAGGTACTTGTGGATTTCAACATCTTTGACCAAATTTTTTTTTGTGGATTAAGAGGTAATTACATGGTGGTACTACGTAACCTGGATACCACATGTGCCATAATCTTTTTAAATGAATTCATGTCAAAGAATCTGCCACATTATTAGTTTTTAAATCCTTGTTCTTAATTCCTGTTTATCTGTTCTTATACATTTAATTTTGTTTTTCATGTATGTAAATAGAAAGGTAATCACCTCTAAATAAAATAATTGTCAGTAAAAATTAACGCTTGGCTTTTTGATTTACCAGTGATTTATGATATCTCGGGTGAAATGAAGCAGTATTCATTTTTATTACACACCGTATTCTATTAAGCTAAAATAGATTGAGATTTGTTCCATAATGTATCAGCCATTCCCATCCTCACCCACATGTTTTCACTCCATTGCTAGCGTCACTCTGCAAATTTCCTTTGATTTACTACTTATATTGATATGACAAGCAGTGATTTGGGGACTTAGCCTTGCTGTGCAATATAAAGTGTAATTGTATTTGGTGAGATGACATAAGATGAGTTTTTGTTATGTATCCAGTCATTTTGTAGTGTGATTATCTACATTTTATTGTCCATTTGTCATTTTTGCTGATAGATCTTATGTTAGAATTTAAATCTCCTGAGAATGTCTCTCAGGAAGCATTTTCTCTCCTAATCTTATCTTCAATTGCTCGAGTTTCAGACCCAGTGTGGACCAGCTTCTTGGTATTTAAATTTTCACGTGCTGGCTTATCGGGATTTGACCTTCAGTGAACTCCCCATGCATCTGTCAGTCATGGGTCATGTATAAACAGTGCTTTGTTTTAAATAGTTTTGTTATATGTCCAGCAATAAACTAAGACAATAAACTAAGACAATTTGATGGTACTCGTTTAATTCATTTTGGACATTGTAATTAGTTTTATAATGTGCATGTTCAATAGACAGAAACGCAATAAACTAACATCACTTTCACAGTGCTTGTTTTATACAGTTCAGACATTGTAAAGAGTTTTGTTATATGCAGGTTCACTAGACAGAGACGCATATTACATTGTTTGATTTGAAAGCCATAAAGCGTAACTATTTGCCACCGATTTTAAGACAAGTTGTAATATTAAATATATTCCGACCGACAAGTTTGCCATCTTAAATTGTGTGCAGTGGGACCTGCTCCCAACTTTTTATGACCTAGGTGGCAGCACCAGTTTAGTGGGTGTGTTAATGGTCTTGGTCTTTTACGGAAACTTAGTATTTGATTATTAAATATATGTATTTGTGATCGTCCTGGAAAACTTGAGTCTAGTGTCAGCGACGGTCAGATGCAGATATGTGCGCATATGTGTAGATTTGAAAATAAAGAAGCTGGCATACATCAGAACTGAAGCTCGGGCATTCTGTAGTAACTGTTCCAAATTTGTTGGCTAACTGCTCTTGTCCAGACCTCCAAGAGATAGTAAATAAAGGCTAGCAGAGTATATATCACTGGACAGGTTATTATGATACCACTCCAACCCATCTGCCCATACTGTTTAATTTCCCAGCAGCCATTACCTTATTATAAAATACATCATTTCCAAAATGGTATCTAATCAGTGCAATTTTTTTAGTGTTTAGTTATCCACTCTAACCAGACTGCTATGTGCACCAATCATAACTTCATACCTTCCCAATAAAGCACCAACTAATGATTTCTTGTCACCCATAATCATCCATTACCTGATCTGTTTTTTCTTGAGGTTTCTTTAACCTTTTTGTAGTAATTTCAGCATATTATGTTTGTCTTCTAGCTTTCCCGGGAAGGACCCAGCTTAACTGACTTCACGGTATGTGCTGACACAGTTGAAGTGTTTCAATTTTTGAGCAAGGACCTGCATTTTGTTGTCAGACATGATCCCATCTATTTGCAGGAAAATGGTGTTTTCATAACAGCACGGGATTTTTTTCTCTTATAACTAAGTACTTTCCTAACTTTTGATTTATCACTTTTAGTATTCACCCTATAAGCACTAAGTCACGTATGTTTTCTTAGAAACTATATTTTTTTAATGCAGTTTTTAAAAGTCCAACTATGATAAATAAACAGTTAAATTTAATTTCTCTTTGCAGTGCCTTTTAAAGTGCTTTATTAATGTTTGGCTTAAAATTTGTTTCAAAGAATTTTTACCAGTATTGTAGATAAGTGGGGTGGATTTAAAGAGGGCAATATCAATGAAAGAACTACAAAGTTGGAATAAATTTGAGCAGGTTTTATATTTCAGCCTTTAGCTTTTTCGATTGGTAAAACTAACCATTTTCCTAATGTGTTAAGTCAATGTTATGTGAAGTAATGGTGGTTGGTTCAACTAGTTTTGATGTCTTTTGTCAAGTTTGGGGGATGTATAGCTATGATTATATGCTGCCAGTGCCCATGGTAGAGAAAAGTAACAAAACTGCAATTTAATGCTTAGAGATGGCCATGGTAGAACAAATGGAAAAAATGTAAAAGTTTCAATTGTTTGTAGTTTAATATACCTTGTTTATAAGATGAAGTTGGCTACAAGGCAAATGTAGATGGCTTGAGTTGTCTTTGGCTTCACTGTGACAATGCCAACCTAATTGCCTTATTGTGTTTGGATAGATATGATGCATGCAGTAGAAAACCCTTATAAATAGACACATAGTTTTTTGCATGGGACGCTTTGTACTAACTCATTGATGTCATTTGTACAACATATATATTTATATATACACACATGTGTAATTCATTGTTATTATTTTTATCCTGGCTATATGCTTTTTATTCTTTTGTGATTTTATTCATTTTTTGCTGTATTTGTCAGTGCGTTTAATGTGAACATTTTGAATTGTATTGAAGGTATGCAGTGGCCAAAGTTGACTGCCTTGATCTGTGCTACTAGTATCACCAGCAGTGAAGTATGTATGATGTCTTGAATTTTTTATGGGTTTAGAATAAAATGAGGATGTTGATTTCTTTTTACTTGTTTAATTTCAGCCTGAGCGAATGCTGAAGATGTGGCTGAATGAATTTGTTGCAGTAAGTGTACACTTTTATATACTTCTTTGTCAAATAGCAATATTTACTTTTAAGTCCAAATAAGCCAATGATATATCTCAGATAATTTTTTAATAGAATGGTATGATTTATTTGTTTTCTGTACCTTGTATCATTATTCTTTTGCAAACAGTGCAGGAGTTTTTCAGTTTCTCAGTCAAATTGTTGAATAGTTTTGAAGAGAAAGTTGTTTCAGTATTGAACTGATTAAATTGTGATGGTTGATCAATTTTCACAAATCCTTACATATTTAGAAAAAGACAATTTAGTGTGAAATATGCCTTCTTAAGTCAAATTTTAGTACCTGGGCATCTTTTTTTTTTATTTAAACCAACACGACAGCTTTTACTCTGAAGTGTGACTCATTCAATATGAATTTCATGAACATTTTAGTTTAAATCAAGAAATGAAAAATGGCAGCTTTTGGTATTAAAAAAAACATTCAATACTCACGAGATTCAGAATGTAAAGGTGGGATAAGTGGTGGGGTGGGTGGAGAAAAATATGTTTAAATTTTGATGAAACTTTCCCACATGATTACATCCTCCTGGGTGAGCTTGAAAATAAAGCTAAATCATGCTGTGGTGACTTTGTCAGGCTATTTGCAGATCATTACAAATGCAAAAGTAATAACACGTATACATCTACAATTAACATTTTGGCTAACCATACACTGGTAGATATTGTTCTCATAAAGAGACTCATAACTCAGTGCTTCATTAGTGCTTCATTAAATCAAAACATACAAGGGACAATAAATGTCTCTGATCAATCGAAGGGATTTCAAGTCTGGGCTTAGGTATTGACACAGCAATGGTTTTAAACTAAGAAGAGAAAACCAACCAATTGTACATAATAATATTGAACTGCACGCTTGTTAAATCCCATTTGGACTGTTCTCCCTGGGTAGTAATCAGAAGACTGGTGTTACCCTTGGGTTTAGTAACTAGATGTGATGTACAGCCATGTGATCAATAGTTAGAAAAAGTCTGTACATCAGTCGATATTCCTTGACAATTTATGATGATCTAGGAAAAATACCACGAAATGGTGACTTGACAAGCACAAATGACTTCATAGTGGATATATGTACTATTTACAAGACAATATCAAACATGATGTTACAATGTTTTTGATTAAAGAATAAGGTGTTGGTGACATTTGGTGTTAAAAATGTGCAAAAGCCTGATCAAAATTGTATTCCAAAAGTATTTTACTCAAGATCCCCCCCCCCCCCCCAATGCCTTGAC